CAGGAGGATCCGCATTGGAAAGCGAGGAAGGAAAGATGGGGAAAGGAGAGGGTTCGCGAAAGTGGTGTGCGCTGCTTTCGCGGATTGGGGCCCAGCTCCGGCAGCAGGCAATCCGCTATCGGTGGGTGGTGCTCACGACAAATCAAGTGCGGGGAGTCCCGATGGCGGCCCGTGCAGTGGCCCTCCCGGCGAGGCTCCAGCCCCATAAACGATCACCACAGTCTCTTTTTGGCAAGGACGAGGTAAGAAGGGAGGTGACGTGGGTTCCTGCACTGGGGATTCGATGGATGGTCACTCCACACGTCCGGGTGGTCCTTCAAAAACTCAACCACACAAATAAGGACGAGGAGGAGAGGGCTCCGAATTCAAACGCGACGCGAATTTTTACGTTGCTATCAAGCCCACTCGCTGCTCCTGCTCAGGTTGGGTTTAAAATCACCGAGAACGGTATTGAAGCAAGCGAATGACACTGCTAATAGACATTGTTTTTACTTTTTTTTTTTACAGCGGATTTGACCGCACTCCGTTTAGGGTGTACGGAAGGAGAGAGGAGGGGAACCTTGATAAACATGTTCATTGAATCAAACATGGAAAACAGGGTTCGGGCGAAAACCCTAGCACCCTGCTGGAAAGCTCGCGTCTTTGTGTACCGCTTCTTCACTGTATAATACTGCTAACTTTATAAACTCAATGGAATTACCTGACTAAAGGGGTAAAAGAATCGGAATAAATGCAACGCACTCTGAAAAAGCGTCGAATTATGTTCGTTTCCATGTCTTAGAAATCCAGCTTTATCCCCCTTCCCTCCTTGAGGGGGAGATCAGTCGCTTATTCAAAATTTGTTTCCTTTTCTTCACCAATGATTATGAATCCATACCTTTACCAAACACCAAATTTACAGCTACTGGGTTTTAAGGTCAAATAGTGGTAACCCTTAATCAATGCTCTTGTTGCTAATACAGGTCTTTGGGTATTAGAGTTTTTGCTTATTCGATTAAGCCTTAAGAATCAAATTTGATCGTTTTCCCTTTCATGAAGATAAGCTCTAGAGTTATCATATTCCTCACTCCTTACCCATTATTCACTTATTATCGTTTATAGTCATTTACAGCGCTGATTATAGAAAGGAAAGAAAAAAAATGCTTAGCCAAAATGTCGCCAAGTCGACGGCGCCGTCGTACTACATGATCCGAACCAACCTTCCAAATCGGAAGCCGCTCAATCAATGGGAAGGAGTTTACTATTTTAGCGGGATCACCAAACGACAACAACACGTTCTCCTTCTCCAGCGTAAGCGCATGCAAATGGCGTATATACAGCGCTTTAATGAGTCCCGCGCTGTGCTCTCGCAGAAACTGGAAGAACGGCCATGGATCTTTCAAACCCAACCCGAACATCAGGAGCGTTTTTTGCTTAAAGAAGGCGAAACCTTCAACAGGACTGTGGAGGAGGCCTTCGCGTTGGCGTGTGGGCTTGCGCGCCATGGGATGCACCTCGAGGCCGCACAATGTGTGGAGTCCCTCCACTTTTCACGCCATCTCACCGTTGAGCAATACGTGCGGCTTATCGATAGTCTCGCGGGGGATATTCTGCAGGAGAGGGTCCTCCACACCGACGCCATGAGCGATCCGGCGTTGACATTTAAACTGATGGGCGATGAGGCCGGCGAGGCGCGCGTGCGCGAAGCATATCGCTGGTATGAATGGGGAATGGATTTACTCCGCGAGGAGGTCCATCGGCGAGGGGGAACCTCCCTGGGGAAAAAAACCGCCGCGGCCTCGCAGCTGATGAACGCCCTAATGCGTGTTTCCCTCACCGGAGGGTATACCCACGTCGTCGCGGTGGCAAATACATTATACGACCAAATGGGGGCCCATGGCATCCACCCGACGATGACCACCTACGAGCTGGTGGTGCTTTCCCTCGCCCTGCAAGGTCGCCACGTCGAGGCGGAGGATATCGCGCGTTTTCTCCATCACAACCACAGCGATCAAATTACGATTGCGATCTACGACGCCCTTCTAATTGGCCATCGCGAGGCCCGCGCGTTTGACCGATGCGATCGGCTCTGGCAGGAGTTAGTGGATCGCCGCTGGCCGCGTGCAAAGCCTCGGACGGCGGAGATTTACCTCCGCAGCATCGTCGACCACGCGAATACCTCGGTCAGTGAGCCACACCAGCGCTTTGGCAACCTCAACGTGGTGGAGAAAAAAAAATCCCGATGGTGTTGTCCCAGCTGGATGAGCTCGGCATCCCCCGCACGCACCTCTCTCGGCCCCTCCTGGACGAGATCGAGGACGCGCTGCGGAAGTTCTCGATCTACCAAAACCGCTTCTACGAGTGGGGGCGGGCGGTGAAGCAGTTCGACTTTATTGAATTTCGTCGACGTCAGGGCTGGCTGTATGATTTACACCTGATGAAGAACACAACGCGGCACGTCCCGCCCGTGCGGGATCCGACGCGGCCGGAGGCGACGATGGTCCCAGCCGCCACCGCCGAGCTCCCGGCCTTTTTCACCGAGCGCTTTTCCTGGGATCGGCCCCCTCTGGAGGAGATCCACCTCCTCCACGAGGAGCGCGAGCGAACGGGGGAGGTCCGGTCGGGGGATATTTACGACCACCACACCCGCAGCCTGCACGAGCGGAGCCCGACGTGGATGGCGCAGGTCCCTCAAACCCGGTATGATCAACTCTACGCAATTACCCACCCCGACGTCGCGCGGATCGGGATCCGACGCCATCTCGATGCGGAATATGTTAATCGAACGGAGGTCATCGCGAGGGATGAGGCGTTGGTGCGGAAGTCCGTGAGCGGGGGTCGGCGGCTTCGGCATCGTGTAGAAAACGCCCCAACGCACCGAAAGGAGGGCTCCCTCCTCCGGAACGCAAAGTAGAGGGATCGAAAAAAAAGAGAAAGACAGGGAGAGGAAGGGGTACTGTGGGGTATTACGTACAGGGGGAGAAAGGGTCGATTGAATGGTGGAAAGACTGAGATAAGTATCTTGGACTGGATGAAGTGAAGGGAGTGGTCATAGGAAGGTAAAAAGGGCCTTATTCTCATTAGGAATCCTCGAAATGCGTCAATCTATCTATAGATCACGTTTGGAATTTTATTTACATTTCACCTGTGAAAGGTCGTTTGTTTTTCATTTCCTTACACTACTTTTTGTGATTCATTTACGTATATTGTTTGATTCCGTTTTCTAAACATCGCAAAAGAAGGATCATTTTTACGCAACAGTTTCTTTTCGACTCATTTTGCTTACTTACGTAGTGCAACAAAAAAAAAGGTATTAAAAATTACAAAAGGAGTAAAAGTTGCCCGTTATATTTCGGCTTAGACTCTTTTTTTTAATATATCTCTATCTATAGATATATATTTATATAAATTTTTTTTATTATCACACTCAAATCAATAAGTGCAGTAAAGGATTACGCTTTGTATTTATACAATACCTCTATTTATTTATCCTTTTTAAACTGAGGGTGAGCAATATATGGGGCGCAGCAAGGCAAAGACTAGAAAAGTGGACATTACCAAACCACTCCTTCAACCCTCCAACAATGTGAATACCATTTCGGTCGAGGCAGCACAACAAAAATTTTTCAACACCAAAGAAAAGTATATTAGGTCCGCAGAGAATATCCAAAGCATCCTCCCTCTCTATGATAAAAATGGACCGATTTTATCGGAAAGAGCATCCTCGAACTGGCGCCAAGGGGGGTACCATAGCTTCTCTAGGTGGATGAATGCACACGTTAATTGTGATTTTAATAAGGAAACCCCTTCGACCGCTGTAAATGGCAGCCAAAATATCGATAACAACAACGCAACATCTAAGTCCCGCTCCGACGGGAACGAGCTTCAGGTGCATCCAAACGGTGTTGATTTGGAAATAGCCTCAACTTCAGATATGGTCCAAGCTAATACAATCCGATGTTTGAACCTCACGGGATGCATAGAAAGCACCGAAACTTCACTGCAGCGTTTAATATCAATGCAGGGGAGCAAGAAATCTAGCATGGGTTCTCCTCTGCTGAGTTCAAACGACAGCAAGACCATAGCACACCACTTCGCACCTCAGTCGGTGTGGAGAAAAAATGAAAATAGTGAAGTCCCTTCCACTATCAACTTTATGGACCTAGAGGCGATTATGTGTACCCCAATACAGAAATTAAACTCGCCTGTTAACACACATAATCAGACTATTAAACAAAAGGAAGAGGATCAGATTCTGTCATTCTCTAGTGATAGAACCCCGCCTCAACGACCTCTACGGGAAACTCCGCACTCCGAGTCGCTGATGAAAAGTCTGATGACGTCCAATATCGATCTCACGACCACTTTCAGTTCTTCCAACTTTCTTCACACAAAGCAGCAAGTTTCTCCACACGAGTTGACAATGGGTGATGGTATTAGCAGCAATCAAAACGTTTACATCGCACAGCAATGTCTTTCTAATGCCTCTCCATTTCCTATCAAGACTAAACACGCTCAGGAGAATGTGTTAGAGGGCATGGACGCACGGTCTTTGCGGTACAGCCACTTTCAACCTAATGAATCGGTATCCTCTGCCGCAGTGCAATGCAAACTGATACGAGAGCTTGTAGGGAATGAAGATGGTGAGAGCGATCCGTCTTCCATGGAGGTTACTACGATATCTAACGAGAATCACGTCCCTACAAAGTTGCCTTTTGTTGGTATTTCGTCCACAGTGAAGAGCAAGCCTCATATTCAGAATTCTTCATTTCTTCCGCAAACGGCGGAATGTTTTTTCACTATGGCAGACAACCCAGTGACGCCTGCCGGTAACTGGGCGGTCTACCCCTCCTCTATGATGTCTCTTCCGTCCCTCAGTCCACGGCCGCAGGTAACAAAAAATGATACAATAGAAAATTTAATGTCTTTACTGATAAGTGATGAATAGAACAAAATATTCTGTAAAATCCTATGACCTTAAAGCAATATGCAAATTCTTCGATATTTAACATAGAACCCCAAATTGGTAATAGTGGCTTAATCACGATATTATTTTTTTTTTGGTCAGAGGATAAGAGAAAAACTAAATTCACAATGGAAACTGCTAAAGTTTCTGCTTACCTATTTGTGATTGCTTCATTGAATACAATTACCATTTGCGAAAAGCCCCAAAGTAATTGATCTCTAGTATAAATCTCTAGTTTATTTTTTTTGTATCGTTTTACGTGGTCTGAATTTAGTTTGTGTGTATATAATGGAAAAAGGTCAAGTTGTGTTGTTTTGATCCTATGACTGCTTTTATCTAAATCGTTCTCGTTAAGCTGGATTTAAATTACCATACATTACATTCCAAAGCTCAAAATAGATTTTTTTTAAGTGTGAAACGCTTACAATAAGGATGATTTACTAATCTACTAAATAGTAAACTCATAACTTAATTAATTATGCTTCAGTTTATTTTGAACGGTGTTGGCGCGAATAATGGTGAGCTAGAGATACTGAAGAAGCTATCAGATCTTTGCTTGTCAGATACCACACAGTCCTCTGCTAACGTGATCTCCCAACATCAAAAATTGGAAAAAGAAACCCCTTTAGTGTCACCATCAAGGGTGTCAGACCAGCATTCTATCAACTACCACACAAGTGGAGGGGCGATAGAGTACCTAGTTCACCATTGCAGTGATCCAGGGGAAGACTTCTCCACCCTTCGACACCTGTCCAATCTTCTCTGCGAGGATTCCAAGAACGGAGAAGATCCGACATCACCCTCGCTGTCCGCCCCCGCTACGGCTGTGGAGGCCATCGCGGTGAAACCCAAGGCATCCCAACAGGACGAGCAGGAGGAACGCCCGCCATCGGCGGGGGCGCGGCAGATGTCGGATCCCTTCTTCCCACCCTCATCTGTCGGGGCGCCTACCCTAACGAAAGATCCCACCGCTACGCCCGGGCTTCGCCTTCCTGACGAGGGTTACCCCTCACCGCGGGAGGTGGGAAAACCCCCACTGGCGCCCATGGGGGGGGCCGTCGTCGTTGGAGGAGGAGGGGCGACGGGGAAGCCCCACCCCCCCCCCTCCCCCCTCACCCCGCGTGAAGCCGTCCCCCCCGG